CCTAGGCACTGCCGAGGTGCCCTTGAGCAAGGCTAAGAACCCCCAAATGCTCAGGGTGCCTGTCCAAAACTATATTTTGTTATGATTAAAGAGTTGATAAGCCTACAACATTAGCTAGCTACCTCGCACACTAGCTAGTTGAAAAGTTCCCCTAAATCAAATTATATAGGGACGTCTCTACTACAGTACTATTAACCAAGGAAAATATGCTAAATCCATGCCCTACAGTTGAGTTTTTTTATGCTATTTCTTATGACGATACATTATTCAACACATTCTCACGCCAACCTCATCACATATTGATGTTTTTGGTCATGGACTTTCCACGTCCACATGAAACGTGAAAGGTACCCTGACTGTGTTGAGTACTGACGTTCTGGGACGGTGTTTCAAGTTCTGCCTGTTACATGCATTGTCTTCTTTCAAGATACACTTCTGTTTTCACAGGAAATTTAACATTTTCATACAACAGTACATACATACAACACCGCAAATTGACGTTTTTTTCCTTCAACAAACACACATGGTTAGGTTTAGGCAACAAAAGCACGTGGTTTGGCTTCATAATCTTACAGGACAAGAACACCACTCTCTCAGGCGAAAGTCGGTGTTTGTTGGACCCATCCACCATCCCTCCCGCCCTCTCCACTTAGTCTTTCGCTACCTTAACTTTCATCTTGTCCTGCCATGTTTCTCCATGATGCCACCGAGTGCTGTTAAACTATAATAGCAACCGGCCGCCTATCATGCCGACGTCAACGGGCGCCCTTTTTTCATGGTTTCTGACGCCCCAAGTCACTGCCCAGGCGCCAAATTTCGACAACTTTGGAGTGAGACCTGGCTCAGTTATTTTACACCACCAAGTAATTCAGTTCAGTTCATGTAAGCCTAGCACACACTCCCTTAAGCATCCAGCAGCTAGCCTATCGAAATTCCACTAAACTGGAGACAAAACTGTTTTTCTTCTTCTACATGTAGATCATACATAGATACAAGGCAACTATGTTCCTGTATCTATGGAGCCAGGCTAGTCTTTCCAATCTTTATGTTAAGCTTAGCTAACCAGCTTCTGGCTCCAGCCTTATTTTCAGCTTGCAAATGAGACAGTGGTATCAATCTTTTCGTGTTAGTCTCAACAATAAAGCAAATAAGCATATTTCCCAAAATGTCAAATTACTCCTTGAATAAAAGGTCACGAGTTTATCTCTTTCTAGCAAACCATTAATTTTGCAGGTATAAATATTGATAAAGTCATTCATAAAAGATCATTGAGTTCTCCCTCTTTAATAAATCAGCAGCAAAAGTTACTAAGTCTGCAGTTAAAAAGAGTTTGTGTAATAATTCATTAAGTAGATGGAAAAGCATTTTTTTTAACACTTAAGAACCCAAAAGCTGTTGTTATTTATGGGTTATAATTGACTACAATGCATTATTAAGCAATTAATGAATCATTAATGACGCCATTTCAGTACCCTAGCTGTCACTAACAAGCCAGTCATAAATTGTGATTTATTAGAAAGTGGTACAGCTTTTAAAAATAATTGCAGGTATACAGACTGCAGCAGCACATCAGCTAATGTGAGTCATATTGTAGCAGTGACACTCATGCATGATGCTCATTGGGATTAATGAAAAAGTTTTATTTCACATGGGAGCATTTACTCCAACCAGATTAAACTGGTTAGAGTTTGCACAGCAATGCTAGCCTGAGGCATGCGTGTTCCCAAAAACTTGATTTAAGGGAATTTGCCTCCAAAGCATTACAGCAGAGTCTCGACCACCCGGCTAGCGTCTTTTCTAAACTTGTTCTATCCTCTATCTTCCTTCCTTTCTTCCTTCTTCTCACTTGCTGTTTGTGTTTTCTACATAAAGCAGAAGAGAATAAAACTTAACTGTCAACATGTGATGTAAAATTGTTCTCTGCATCACCCTAGGGACATGAAGCAAAGAGCAGTCTACAACTTGTATTCCTCGTCTTGTGAAAACCTTTTTGCTCCAGATTTTTTATTATCATGCTTGACTTTTAGTGAAAACCCTTGAAAAAACTTGACTGAATAACCTCTGAAATGCAGAGTGGCTGCTGAAAATGACAACTGACATGCACATCATCTTAATCCATGCTGAAGGTTGTGAAAGTTTTGGTGTGTGCAGAGGCAGTCCTGTGTTTCCTCTGAAGTTTCGAGGCGTAATTACACTCAAAACGGGTGAGTTCCTATAGACGTTTTCCCGCTGCTGGCACTTTTTAGTTTAGCAGAGGGAAGATGTCAACAGCAATGATCCCAAATGCCATTAAAAAGTGAGCAAAATCTGTGGGTGGGTGGACTGCCTGCCCTCATATAAAAACACATCATTATCTTTTTGTATTTTGTGGTGCTGCGCCTGCTGTATATTAATTTGTATTCATGACTCTATATTCACAACTCCAAAAACACTCCCACGTTGCCTGCACTCGCTTAAATCTGACACCTGCCAAACTTTCTGTAAACTACTAACATTTTTGAATGAGTTTACCAGGCACGAAGGCTGTGCAGCAGAGTCTGGAGGCCATTACAGCTTACTGAGTGTTAAAGCAGACTCTATCACCCTGTAAATTCTACTGCTTCACCATATGGATACTGGATACTGTCTTGTTTAACTTAACATTGACCAGTAAGCCTGAGAACAATGAGGATATTACATACTGTTTTCCATTTTATTTGATCTAAAGCAGCATTAACTGATTAACAGATGCAGAGCAACATTAGCATTAGAGGTAGCTACTGATACTTGATTAAATTAAGGTACTGACTGACACAACCCAGTACCAAGTAGTATTAAAACTTCTCCAGTCAAACAATACCTGTATTTGATCCTCTTAGTGCCTGGGGACCGTCCCAACTCCCTGCCGAATCAAGAAACTTTCTGTTGCTGCCTTCACCAGCGAGTGGTCTATTTAATGTCTATGTTAGCACAAGCTAACACAGTAGCAGAGGCTAACATCCAACACCCCGCCGTTAAATGATACCAACAAACTCACACAGCCACCGAAACGACTCGACTACTAAACCTGTCAGGTAATGTTAGCCATGTGATGCTAACTGTTAGCCCTATCATTGGGTGTTTACAGTTGGACTCTCACCGACTGCCCTGATGCAAAGCTCACACTCCTGCAGCAGCAACTGCAGCAGATGTTTAAATGTATAGCTTTATTACCACAACTCCTTTCACATTATGGATATGAATTAAGTATTTTGTTGGTATCGCTATCTCTTTGAGGGTGCTGGTATGGGTACTAGTATCAGAATTTTTAAACATTACCTAGCCCTCATAAGTATTAATTTCTAGTTATGTTCCTGAAAACCTTTTTTTGTAGCTCCTTTGTTGGTTTCCATTAACTCCTGAAGGAAATATTTGGCTCTTTGGCTGACAAATGTTTCAATGTGTTCACTGGGCGGGATGCTAATTTGGTCCCTCCACTGTGTCAACCATTAATTCCTCACTGTCATTTCTTGTACACGAATCTCGATACCATGACTAAGTCTCAGTTTGTTTCAACCTGGTGTTAGGGTTGCAGATAATCAGTATTTCTTGATTATTCCATTAATCACATAAAAATGGCAGATAACAGTGTCCAGCCAACATTTGTGTATGGGGCCCATGTGGGTAGTAAATGGGCTGAAAAATGGGCCCTATATTGTACTGTCCATGTGTTCCATATTGGCCCCATGCCAACTGCCCCCATGGGTGGATTTGCTCAAGTGGGGCTCCAAAATGGGCATTTTATCTGGGGCATACTTGGGTAAACCCACCCATGTGGACAAATGACATGGAGCCAATAAGGAACCTGTGGACTATCCCATATAGGCCCCATTTTTTCAGCCCATTTACTGAACCACAAAGGCCTCACATACAAACGTTGGCTGGGTGTCAAATGTCCATCCAAGTTTCCCTAAGTCCAAGTCTTGAGCTTTTTTATTCCATCTGTCTTTTACAGCACATTCCTCCTGTTGTGTGCCATAAAGCAATTTTATTCACATTAGTTTATTATAGTGTTATTTACAGAATTATTGATGCTCGAATGCTAACTGGAGCGCCTTTGATTTTGGTTTTTTGGTGCTCTTAAGGGTCCCACTCATGACCACATCTCCACATGTCAACACACAGAGGTTACCATTAACTTCTCTTTGGTGGGTGGGTAGGTGTTGACTGTCACCCAACCCTTTTGTGTCGCTAGGCAACCATATGCCACCAGCAAAGAATCCATATTGTCCCAGAGAGCAAGTTCAACCCAAAACTCTGCACCTCACTGACGCTGCTGTTCCACTGAGGCTGTCAGCGGGAGTGTGTGTGTGTGTGTGTGTGTGTGTGTGTGTGTGTGTGTGTGTGTGTATGTGAGCCAGAGGGATTTCAGGATGAGTGGGGAGTGGGTCAGGAGTGTGTTTTGGGGTAAAGGATTGGCTGAGGGGTTGTGAGGGGGATTTGTGTGTGTGTGTGTGTGTGTGTGTGTGTGTGTGTGTGTGTGCAGGGGAAGAAAGGAAGGGGGAGGTGGGGGTTAGGAATCTGTTTACAATGGCCTGAGGGAGAGTCGCCTAAGCTGCCAGAGAGGGAGAGACACAGATATCGAACGGGAGTGTGTAAGAAGAAGTCCAAGATGAGGAGAGAAAGGACAAGACGGAAAGAAAAGTAGAGTTGCAGAGAAGGAATGAATGAAAGGAGAGTGAGCCCCGCAACTCACGAGAGGATTAAAAACAAACTTAAGGAGTCCCTTAAGGTTCCTCGGCAGAAGCTGCGGTTGGAGTCACAGGAGGGAAACTGCAGGGTGATGCAAAGCAGCAGTCTTACCAGATCTCTGCTCTCAGCCATGCAAATAGGATATCTGGTGTGTGAGTTTGGGTTATGTGTTGTGTGTGTGTCTTTTATTCTTGAGTGCATGTGTGTGCAATGTTCTGTGCTGCAGAAAGTTGACACTAACTTACAGGCTCTTTTTTTCTCTGTGTGTGTGTGTGTGTGTGTGTGTGCAGATTTTGAGGAGCAGTTGTACGACACCAAGCTGACCGGTCAGACTTTCCGGCATCCATCCTCGCAGAGCTCCGACGACACGTCCACCTCGCTCAGCCGATCGCCCATCTCCCTCAACAACAAGAGACCTGACTTCATCTTCCTGGTAAACACACAAACACACACACACTGGCGTTGATGCTTATTTGAGCATCAGGCTCCCTCACACCAAATGTCATCTGTCTGGTAAACAAACACACACACAGGTATTAAAGTTTCATATACACATTAAATAATTCCCTCCTTACTTATTTTGTCAACCTTTCCCACAAAACCACGCACTGGTCCACCCCCTGTAGTCTGGAAAGCATCAGACTTCTTGCAGCCGAACACACACATACACCCACTCAGAAACCGAACCGTGTCCACCTCACTTATCTTTTTCACTTTTCTCCCTGAGCAGCCAGAGAGCAGCCTTCACATTCCCACTAAACTCACGCTAACTCACTCAGTCCCACTCCTTCTGCCCTCTATGCCCTTTTTTTCTCCCTCCTCCACTGTTTATTTCTGTGCTACAGTTTCTTTCAAAACTAATCCAACACTTTCTTTTCTTAGCTTAGTGACCCAGACATCAGACATTTACTGTATGTTACACACCTCATTTGAAAGGACAGTAGAGTGCACACTCCTGATGTATTTTTGTCCTAGTGGAGGCATATAAATGCATCTCTTCTTCCCTGAATAAACTGTTTTAAAATGCCGTTGGATCACCTGGACAATGCATCGTCACAAAACTGAACAGAGCTATTTTTCTGACCCCATGAAAGGTTGACTTAATATGAATCCAAAAACCACATATCATAATAAAACACTACCAGGGAACATTTAGAATGACTACTTTTAGTGTAAAGTTTTATAAGTACATTTAGCTGATGATACTTGTATTTAAGTAAGGGTTTGAATGCAGGATTTAAATTTCAGTGAAGTAATTCTAGAGCGTGGTATTAGTACTTTTACTTAGGATCTGAAAACTTCTTCCACTACTAAGAGTGTCTACTGAAATTGTTTGGCTGCACTGTAAATAGAATCATGAGTTGTTGCTGGGAAGGCAGCACTGTAATGTGGGATTTATACTTCTGCGCTGAATTAACGCCATACCTACGGCATACACTTGCATCCACGTAGAGCCTACGCTTTACCCTACACCGTAGCCTGACGTGCACCTCAGAAATGTAACCACATGTCTCGGCGACGCAGACCTCCTGTCTGTGTTTGTAAGCTGAAACCATTTCCCTCAGTGGAAAAATTATGAAAACAATAGAGCCTTGTGTGTGATTTATCCTGGCTTCATATGGGTAGAGGAAATCTCTGCTCGTTGCTACGCTAATTTATAGAATGTAAAATGCCATAGGCTTGTGCTAGGAATGTTAGCATGTTGTATTTGTTTGGAAAATGTGTTTAGTATAAGACAATTGTTTTGTTGGTGAATATTGTGAGTTGCAATAGAGCCAAACTTTGTAACGTTACCTTTGTTAAATGTTGCTGTTGTCCCTGGCTTCAAATGAGTAGAGGAAAAGTCCGCTAGCCACTAGGCTAACTTTTACAATGTAAAATGCCATAGGCTTGTGCTAATAACGTTAGCATGTTGTATTTGTGGGGAAAATGTGTCCAGATAAAGACAAGTGTTTGTCTGTGAATGCTGCGAGTTATAGTGAAGCTGATTTGTGTACTTGTGTTTGAAATTGTCTCTATTAAGCCATGTTTAATGTGTGTTTAATGTGTGTTTTGAATCTAATAAACTTCACAGCACTTCACAGATACCTCCGCCGCCAACTAGTGTTTTGGAGGTGTAACTTCAGAGTGACACAGACACACCACCGCACAAGTATAAATGCTCACAACGGCGTAGGCCATGTGCGTAGGCTACGGTATATGGTCTGCATAGAGCTGACACACAAGTAAAAATCCCTCTTAAGGTGTCAATGCTGCCACTGGTGTTCAACACATACTGTACTGTAGTTCAATAAGTGACACAATGCAGTAACAATATTCTTCCCAGTAGCTACCAAAGGATTATTTCAGTGTCACTAACACTGTTTCAGCTTAAATTCATGTTGTGACAAAATACCTCATCGCCTTTGTTATTATCCCTTTTATATAAATGATTAAAGCTGAATTATCCAGAAACTATTATACAGTATGTGCAACCCCCCGTTAGATTTGTCAGAATTAGTCATCATCCTTTTTGACACTCTCAGCAGGTTTCCACAAACACACGCCAAATCACGTACTGTCTTCCAGATAAAAATATCACTGATACTTCATCAGAAATTAAATCAGCAAATGGCATCAGGGCTTTCTGTAAGTCAGCTAATGCTTATTGAAACAGTGGAGAGGTAACTAAATGTACGACTTAAGCTGTATTGATTTAATTGATTTGTTGTATTTTGGTATGAAGTATCTACAAAGGATCAAACCTGAACACATGGATGAGGCAGACTCTGCAGTGAGTTCATCTCTATTTCCACTCTTTCCGTCTCTGCCTTAGCTGCTAATAGCTCTCAGGCTATTTCCCCAAACTGTGTCATTATGGCAGCTTGATGGACTCCCACGGTGATTCTACTGCAAGATGGCTGCACACTTCCTGCATATTGACGCTCTGTTCCTTCAGCAAGCTGTTAAACAGCTCTGTTAAGTTAATGCCTCTCTCTCTGTTTGGGCTAATTTCAATTAGACTTTGGCAGATTCCCACGAGATAACTTGGATTTAGATTCCTACAGTACATACACGTGGTTTCTCGCATGTATTTCATCAGAGAGGATAGACTGGAGTGTTTCCTGCACTGCAGCAGCCCCGAAGCACCTTTGCCTTGCTTTAGGGCTCTTTGGCAGAGATGGTTGATACCTTCAATTTAACACCAGACAGGTGACAGTTCCCTCCCAGCTGGGATTACATCTTCCTGTTGACACAAGGGACCGAACTAGCAATGTCTCTGCTACCTGGCAGCCTCTGGCCCTGCTGGCTAATCAGATCTAAATTGATATTTCCCACATTTCTGCTTCACTTCTTTTACTTCTTTGCCATGTTTTCTGCTCTCCTGTGAATCGTCACCTTTGAGCATTTTTCCTCTCTCTGTTCTCCGTCTTTTACAATTTACAATTTACAATTTCACAATTCTCTCCTCCAACTAGAAGACAGGTGAAAATAAGATGTGTTTTTCACTTTTATTCTCTCTTTCTAGCCCTCCTCGTCTTATCTGCTTTTCCGTTGCTTTCTCCCACTGGCATTGAAGCAGCTTAAAGAGGGCAGAACATTTTATTTTGGTGGAAGTAGACAAGTAGATGACCTCCGCCAGGCTGTCTCGTCTGCTCAGCCGTATTGATTTTGGCTTTAATTGAATTTAGAGTTTATTTAGTTTTTTGTGTTTGAGCCAATTCAACGAGAAAAAAGCCCCTATTGTCTAATTTTCAGAGTAGCTCGGGCATAAAACAGAAAAACTTTCAAAGAAGTTTAAAGTATGGTATGAGACAATTGAATCTGAGGAAGTGCTGAGAGAAAAATCAAGTTGGGAACATGGCTGCATTAAGATGCTGAAATGCCTAAAAAATTGGATTTCACTACAGAAATGTCCTTTGTTTCTCAGACTATTCACATCTGTTGTACAGTTTTGGTGCATAAAATAGTGTTTTTAAAGCAGCATTTCAGACGACTGAAACCATTCACATAGATTTTGTTTGAAGCCATGACCAGGCTGAGCCCTTAATCTCATTAATCTGACTGACTGGTATTGTGTGAATACAAAGAGAAACAATATAATTTTCTGCATTGGAAACATGAAAGCTCACTCATCAAAGCTATATTTTAAAGTGGCACTGATTAATGTGCTCGTGTTAATAATGGAAAATTGACTCATGTGAAAGGGGGTGCTCATAAATGTAATGACAAACCCAAAGAACAATATCACCCGACTTTGCAAAGAGTTTAAGCATCCGTCAGAGTTAGCGACCAAGTTAGTTTCTAGCTAGTGAACCAAACATTGGAGGCATTAAATGCTGCCACTGTGATGTCACCCACTCATTTGTGGACTGCTGTTCTGAAGCCTCGAGTTCAGCATTTCGGCCATCGCCATCTTGGTTTTTTTGGAGCCAGAAGTGACCAAATTTGGACAAGAGACTTGAGCAGTGGAGAAGCGAGGGGGGGGGATGGGGGATCTGACTCAAACACTGTAGTCTTGCCTCACAGAAAGCCTGTCACTTAAGTAGCCCCGCCCTTACATATTCGTAACTTTAAGCCTTAACAAACTGTAAACGGTTCAGTTATATAAAAATTCACCTCCATTTAGCTGTCATGGATGTTGAAATTAGTCATGGAGAGCAATACAGTTTTTATACCAGGCTGTAAACATGTTTACTTGTGCTGTTTGGTTGGTCTTTTTAACATGGAGGTCTGTGGAGATTAACTCGCATCTTGAGCCAGCCTCTAGTGGCAGTTTGAGGAACTGCAGTTTTTTGGCACTTCCACGTTAGCTTTATTCTTCAGCCCCAGAGGTTGCTGCTTGGAACCAACACAGTCTCACAGAAATATGTGAAATGGACACGACCTCTTAACAACTTATAACACGGTGGTGGGTACAAAATGCAATCAAATTACATGCAGGCAACATGAAAACACCACCAATGCAAAGTTTATTACAAACAGTCGCAGTTTCAAGTATCTTATTAGTGTGGATAACGTTGTGAAACAGTCGCATTTTGGTTAGGTTTAGGGAAAGACAAACACTTGGATATGTTAAGAATACAAAAAAAGTGTCTTAGGAAGTTTTGGAGTTTAGGAAAAGATTGTATTTTTGGTCAAAATAATAGATACGTAAACATAGATACGTAGAGTCTGTAAAGTTACCAAACTATGTTGACTTTTGGTTTCACACCAACTTGGTCTCACTCCAAAGTTGTTGAAAACTGACACTTGGGCAGCTACTTCCTGTGTCATACACCACTGAAAAAGCCGTCCTTTCATGTCAGCATGATACACAGCTGGTTGGCATTATTCTAGAACGGTGCCCAGTGGCGTCAGGGGGTATTGCGGTGGGACAACAAGGAAAGTTTAGGGGACGAGATGTCCGAGTAGGATGGGCAAGAGGGGTGGTGGATGGCTCCAACAATCACTGACTTTCAGCTGGGAGATCAATGTTCGCTTCCGGTTTGAATGTTGAGTCAAACCCCGTTCTTTTTTCCTTGACATAACCGTGTGCTTTTGTTGCCTAAACCCAACCACGTGTGTTTATTGTTGAATGAAAAAAAACTTCAATTTGCGGATTTATTTTGACAGAGACTATTCAAACTGTACATTTCCCGTTAAAAACGTGTGTATTTGTATAAAAGTGTATTTTAAAAACAGACAGTGCATATAACAGGCAGAATTTGACACGACATCCCAGAATGTCAACAACCGACGCAACCAGGGTACCTTCCTTGCACGTAATTTCTCGACATAGAAAGTCCATGACCAAACATCAATATGCGATGAAGTCGGAGACAAACAGTGGTCTCCTGTTTGACCCATCTACCACTCCCATCCTCCCTACTCTGACTGTCTTGCTCTTTTTACCCTCATTGATATTGTTTTCATATTGCCAGCATGTGATTTTAACACATTTTGTGCCAACCACCATGCACTGTTAAGAGTTTGTGTCCATTTCATGTATTTCTTTGAGACTGGAAAGTGAACACAGTGCAGCATTTAGCAGCTATTCCCTCATGAGTTGGTGGGGACCAAAACAGAGCTCAAAGGAAAGTGAATATTGGACTTACATTTGCCCTGTATCCAGAGAGACATCTCCCAGTGAATGAATATATTGCTCTGTATCTGCTGTGTGTAAATAGGTGACTGTTTGCTAACACATGCCATTTATATTGTGATTATGTCAGTGTTGCGTTTACAGCTTGTTGCAAAAGAAACAGTTTAAGCTCACCACTTCTCACACTGCTTTCTTCTTCCTCTAGCCGGCGTCCAAACAGCTCTACGACGATGAAACCACCTCCTCAGTGTTTGGACTGAGGTCCGTGACCGACCCGTCTCCCTCCCCGTCCCCGTCACCCTGCGGCTCTGATCGCCCCCCGCTGGGTTGGAGTAGTAACAACAGCAGCTGCAGCACCGCCACTTCTGTTACCACCGGACCGCCTGTTGCAGACAAACCACGCTGGCAGCTCGGGAGACGCACACCGGGTCACTTCTTACCACTCGACATCACAGGTACGATAAAACAAAAGTAAGGGGTTATATTTGGAGTAATTAGGTACTTTATTGATGTTGCTTTTCATAGGGTTATTTTTTCCACATATTGTATTTCTCTAATTTAGATTAAGCTGAAATTAATTCCCCTCGCAGGAAAATACAAATGAAGTTGAAAAGGAGAACACTGATGACACACCCTTTTATTTGTGATAAAGGGCACATTCAGAAGTTGCTGATGTAAAGGTGCCTTTTTGGAGTTTTTTTTATTTGCTGTTTTTGTAAATATCACTGTAAAGTTAATGATATGCAACAGATTCCATCAGTATTCTTCGAACCAACTGAACCACCAGGATGTTTTCAAGGAAACAAAGTTATTGAGGTAGCACTGCATGAAAAATTCTAGACAAAATAAGTATAGACAGCATAAATTTCCTAGTTCTTGCCTTAGAAGTCTTTGGATTGGCACAGCTACAGTATCTCAAGGAATTCATGAATGTTTCATTGCCTGGACCAGACTGATCCTGAGCCATCAAAGTGGTAGAAGAGTTTGCTGTATTTAAATGGGTATGTGTAAACACAGGCGACTGGCATCCAGCCTGTGAAGTGCTGGTGATTATCCAATCAAAGTGCAAGATGCTTATACAGTATGCTCAAGCTGTCTTGTTGTTGATATTCCAAGCTGGTGCTTGAACGATGGGTTGATTAATTTATTGGTGGACATATTTGGATGTAGGATTGAGTTTTTGAGTCTTTTATCAGGCGACAAGGTCACACATGCTCCGGTTCTCAAATGCGAGAATCTGCTGCTTTTCTCTGTTTTATATCATTGTAAAGAGAATATTTTTGGGTTTTGAACTGTTGGTTGGACAAAATAAGCACTTCAAAGACTCTTGGAGCTTGTTTTGTGCATTTTCTGACATTTTATAAGTGGTAAATGGACTACTTTATGCTTTTCTAGTCTTAGCAACCACTGAAAGGTCTTTACAACACAAGCACCATTCACCTATTCACACACACATATTCATAAACTGGTGGCCAAGGCTACCAGACAAGGTACCTGCTTATCAGATAAACATTCACATGCTTTTACACACCCAAAGCACAGCCATCAGTAGCAATTTGGGTTTCAGTATCTTGCTCGATTTGGTGCGACTTCTGCAGTGATTGGAGCACTGTGCCAGACAGTTGTGGTGAAGAGGGAGCTGAGCTGGAAGGCGAAGCTTTGGCTTTACTGCTCCATCTATGTCCCACCCTATGGTCATGAGCTCTGGGTAGTGACCAAAAGAATGAGGTTGCGGATACAAGCGGCCAATATTAGCTTACTCCGTGGGATGGCTGGGCTCAGCCTTAGAGATAGGGTAAGGAGCTCGGACATCCGGAGGGAGCTCGGAGTAGAGCTGCTGCTCCTTCGTGTCAAAAGGGGTCAGTTGAGGTTGTTCAGGCATCTGATTAGGATGCCTCCTGTTAGAGGTGTTCCAGGCACGTCCCACTGGTAGGAGGCCCCGGGGCAGACCCAGAACACGCTGGAGGGATTACATATCTCGTCTGGTCTGGGAACACCTTGGGGTCTGCTGCCCCCGCAACCTGGCCCCAGATAAGCGGATGAAAATGGATGGATGGATATCTTGCCTGAGCAAAACAAGTAATCGATTAATTACAAAAACAGTAAATACAGTAACCAGAAATGAAAATATTTATCAGTTGCAGCCTTGTTCAAAAGGTCTCATGGTAATCAGTGAGTGAGTAGGAGTCAACTGAGGAAGAGTTGGATGGAGGTGAATTATAGTGGGCTGTCGGGGGGGAAGGTGAGGCACTTGTTGTCAGAGTGTTGGCTCCAGCCAGATGCCTTCAAGCATTACTGGGTTTTATTGGAATTCATGGTCTCAATATGAAAGTTCTCTGACAAGCAACCTCAAATTAAATAAATTAAGACCTGAAATGAGATTGTATTGGAAATGATGAGAATCAGCATTTGGCAGCTGTTGGATGGCTCTTGATGTCTGATTTGAAAAATCCACTTTGCAGCGTATAAACAGCTGCTACAGGGGATGATTTTTTTTGTGTTTTCCTGCTGTTGCCGTCATTGTTTTTTGTAGTAAAAGAAAAAAACATTGCTGCCTTTGTACACACTTAATGCCTCAGAGCAAAAATCTGATTCACACGTTCGGCGCTGTTCTCAAGGGAGCTGGTTCTTCCTGTGGTGGTTGTAAAAGTGAGAGTCATGGGAAATTAGGCGGAGGGAAAATGCTTAATATATGTGAGTTTTAGTCTCTTTCGAGGTCAGTATAATTTGTCTGACTTGCTGTAACCATTGCTTCACTGTTGGGGAAGTAGTAGAAAAACACAGATGACATAGAACTCTGATTTTAACAATATCTGTGTAATCACAAATAACCTCCTAAATGCTAAAAATGGTCGCCATGTGAGCTTATATTTTCTAAAATAAGTAGAAATTCTTAGGGAAATACTGTGTGTGCTGCAGCCCTGCACCACAAACTTGATTGTAGGGGAGACTGGGGGCAATTGAAACTTATTTAATTGCACCAAGAACCATGAAACTCATCATGCACATGGTCTGTGATGATCCCTCTCTGCCTGCCAGAGGAGAAACTGATGTCTCATACCTGATATGATTAATTAAACTGTTTAATTAAACTGGACTTAATTGCTCAATGGATTTTATTCAGTATTAAGTGTACTGTATAATCTCTTCTGGACAGGTCGTCAGACTATCACAGGGCTGACACATAGAGACAGAAAACCATTTGCACTCACATCTACAGTCCAGTTAATCTAAACTGTATGTCTTTGGACTGTGGGAGGAAACCGGAGTACCCACTCAAAACCTTCACTTACACAGGGAGAACGCTCGCTCTGGGTTCAACCCAGGAATCCTCTTGCTGTGAGGCAACAATGCTAACCACTATAGCAATAACAATCAGTAACAATTAATTACAATCTCTAGCCCTTTCTAGATTGGAATTGTGCAAATTTGCAGGAAAGCCCAATCAGTCTTTTTTCAGCATTTGCAGTATAAAACAAAATCTGGGAGTGTGGCAAAATGCCGCCTACCTACTTTTGTTTTGTTGGGGCAATGGGGGGCGTGAGCAAGTAACAAAACGTGTGGCTCAGCATGTGACGTAAACAGTGACATGGGAGGGAAGCTGCGGCTAGTCAGGCGGCGATAGTCAGGCGGCAAGTCTCTCGTAAATCAGCCCATTCATCACCATTCCCATCATCTGACGGTTAATGGCCCCTTCGTTTGTGAGGACAAGGAGGGCGCACAATGCCTTGTCTCCCCAGTTGCTCATCTTTACAGTGTCTGTCAGGTTTGTGTTTCCCTCTTGCTACTAGCTGCTAATTCCTGCTATCAGCTGTTTCCTGTTTATCCACCGCCAGTGGTTCGCACGTGCGGCGTCATCAACAGCTCCTCCCGTTGCAGAGGGCTAAACTAAAAGGGTTCCGCCAATGTGTCTACCCTACGAGGCGGAAAATTGGGCACCTCGAATCAAGTCGCCATTCTGCCTCTGTGTGTATATAAACGCTCACAGTTTGCCGGCAAAACAGCCCAACATTTGCAGAAAATCTGGCAGTGTAAAAGGGGCTTCTGTTACATGGTGGATGATCTCGTCCTCTGCTTGGAGGGTAAAGAGCTCCCCAATTTGCAGACATTTGTCCAGTGTTCTTATTGGAGTTAGCTGCTAACTGCTTCTAGCCACTGTTTAGATCTCTCGTGGCTGGTTGCACGCATAACATGTTGTCAAAATGTCACACGTCCTGCAGGCTGACCCGTTTATACGGACATTGTTTTGGTTCTGTTACTACTTATGCTGCCAGCCTAAGGGTGAGACAACTGTCCCCCCATTCTGCTCTGCTACCTTTTTTACAGAATGGTGAGGTGGCTTGATGATGCAAAATACACACCCTAGACAGGCAATGTAAAATGGGCTGTAGTTGACATTTTCCCTGTTTTTAACAGCAGTGGTTGTTAATTATTGTCATTAGATTAAGACCCTCTTCCCTGAAAAAAGGATATTGCAAAAACTGTCAATTTAGGAACAATAATTTCACAGTTTCAAGCTAAAATAAACAAAGTGTGTTTTCCATTAGTAAAGAAAATAATTTATATATCATTATAATCAATGAACATGAAATGTCGGTCTACCCCCAATTATAGAATGACTCGTAAACTAAAAACTTGACTCATTATAAAACATATTTGCATTACCGTGCAGTTAAATATAGAAAATCTACTTAAATGTACCCACCAGGCTGTGCCTTCCTCCCAGTTGCTTGTAATTTAAGAATTAAAGCGTCTTCTCCTGCTGCAGTCAGTGTACATTACCTTATCAGTGACATTCCCAAATGTAATTGGATCACATAAATGCATTGGCTCTCCCCAGGTGCTAGTTTGCGATATTAGAAACTCTACTATCATGCCAATCCCTTTTTTTACATTCATTTCTCCTTTTTTTAAAATAAGAGAAAGGAAAAAATAAACAGCAAATCTCATTCAGTTCGGAGGATACTTTTGAGTGTAGGCGTGCAGAAACATATTCAAATGTAGTGGGTGTTTTTAATGTTACTTATTAAATCCACTTTTGTGGTGAAAAAAGCCCCACTTAATAGAGGATGTAGAAAGTAATAAAAAATTGGCAGGAAACTCAGTGTTTCTGCTGGAAAGTTTCAACACTGTGTTACTTTGGTGCTTGAACGGTGTGCATATTCATGCCAAAAGTCATAGCTCACAGGTTACACTGGGTGATGTAGACATGCTCTACTTTCACACACACGTACACACACGCGCACACACAGATTCCCACTTTACACAAGTTTGAGCTTTAAGGGTGAAAACGCCGCAGAAACAAGATTTGACGTCGAGAACATTTTCTTCTTATGATCACATTCGCTATCGCCCTCACCCATCTCTGGCAGTCAGCTCTGCTTTGTCTGTGTGTGTGTGTGATTGTGTGTGTGTGCTGTCAGAGCTGTTAGTATGCTGTGGTCATCCTCGGCAG